AGCTGCCCGCCGAGCTCCCGCGTAGCGGAAGCTATAGGCCCTGGCCGACAGGCCCCTCCCCCCTGGGGGTCCCGCTGTCTCAGACAGTCGGCCACCCTGGAGGGGCGCCCCTTTGTATTTGGGCGGCGGGTGAGTTTGCCGGCTCCCGACCCAGAGCGCCAGCGCGCAGCAGACCCGCGCCGCTGCCAGGAGGAGGGGGGCGAGGAGGAGGACCAGTGTAAACCCAAGAGCCATCAACGATGTTGGAATGCACCCACCCTCCAAGCTCCCTCCTCATATGTCTCTTCATCGGTTCATTTCCATTGGAGGAACTTCCTCGTTGGAAGACAACAGAAGATCCTGAAGCATGCCAAAACATGTTCTGGGGATTTCAACGCCACGGATCCATCGGAATGCTGCGTCTTGACGATCCAGAATCGTGCCATAACGCCAATTTTGGGATTTCAACACCGCGCATCAACATATGTGCTGCGCCCGCATAGTCCTGAATCTTTCCAACGTGCCGCTTCTGGTACGTTGATCATGGGAAGCAATGGGGCTCTTGCAACTTTTCAAAACGAATGTGCGCGGCGTTCAGGCGAACACCACATTATGAAAAAGGAACCGCCCTCAATCCGTGAAGCGTTTGCAAATGTTGAATGCAAATATGCTCGGCGCCCAGGCGAAAACCACATTTTGAAAAAGGAACCGCCCTCACACTTTTGCCAATCTTGAATACGACTCTGCGCGGCGCTAAAGGCGAAATCCATATTTTGAAAACGACCCACCCACAATGGAGGAGGAGGAGGAGGAGGAGGAGGAGGACGAGGAGGAGGAGGAGGAGGAGGAGGAGGACGAGGAGGAGGAGGGAGGAACAGGAGGAGGAGGAGAGGAGGAGGAGGAGGAGGAGGAGGGCGGAAGAGGAGGAGGAGGAGGAGGAGGAGGAGGAGGAGGAGGAGGAGGAGGAGGAGGAGGAGGAGGAGGAGGAGGACGAACACGCGGCCCGCCCCGAGCCGCTGGGCCTCGGGCCGCCGCTGCCGCACCGCGCCCGGGCGAGCCCGCCAGGGCGCCCCTTGTGCGGTCTCGCGGATGCCCGTGGCCGCGGCCGCGGCCGCGGCCGCGGCCGCGGCCACCGCGGCTGCTGCCGCGGCCGCCGCGCCGCCGGGCGCGGCGTTGGACTTAGCGGGTCTTAGAAGCGGCAGGGGAGATCTGCCCTGGGGAGATCTGCACCACGTCGCGCGCCACCGCGGCCCGTCCAGGCACCCCGCCTGCCGGTCGTGCGCGCGTCGCTTCGGCGGGGATGCCAGGTCCGCGGGCTCGCGCGGGCCTGGGGCACGCGGCAGCCTGGACCTCGGATCCGTGGGCGCCGAAACATGTTGTCGGGGGTGGACCGACCTCCTACCCTGACGCGTCGATTCAGGAATTGGCCGCTTTCGGGTCGCGAGAGGGCGCCGCGGCCGTCATCTTTGCGGGTCCGGGTCCGTCGGTTTCGGTCCCAGGCCGTTTTCACGAAGGGGAGGTGTGCTAAAGGGAGGTTTGTCCACCGCCGACAGGACCGTTATTGGTCGTTATCTTGTGGTTCAGGCTCCGTTTGCTCGATGTTTCCGGCGCCGTTGTTTTGCCGTCATCTTTCCCTCGGCGGGGGCCTGGTCCAGATCACAGCTTTTGTTTTCTCCCCGGCCCGAACCGTTTTCGAGCGGGTTCGGAACGTCCTCCGGATTCTCGGACTGCCCAGGCCGTTTCGGTGAACCTCGTTTTTACCGTTCTTGTTGTTTGTTTTGGCAGTTGTCCTGACCAAGTGGGAGTCCCGAAGCGGTGCGGTGACAGACCGTGCGGTGACCTCGAAATCCCCCAAGACTTCACCGCACGGTCCGTCACCGCACGGTCTTGGGACCTCGGAGGCCCCTGTCGCCCGAGACGTCCTCCGAGAACGACCCGAGTCTCAAAGCCGTGCGGTGACCCGGCATCCCCACCGACTAGCCGCACGGTGTGGTCACCGCACCGTTTGTGGGTCTCCAAGAGGTAGTTCTTTGTTGCAACCATGCGAATACAGTGCCGTTTTCTATACATGCTCCGCGTGCGGATCATGTATTAAAAATGCAGGGTTTGAGTACCAAAAACAAAGACGAGTTCACGCATACATTTATTCATAGATTAAGCATGTATTACAGATCCTTATATTTTTTAAAAGAATCCGATGTCTCAAACACTGCCCTGTAAGCAACGGCCCTGCTGTTTCCGGTGCCCGCTGAGGCGCGGGGCGCCTGGGGGCCGCCCGCTCGGGCGGGCGGGGGGCCGCCAGCCCCGGGGGGCGCCGGCGGGCCCCGCAGAGGTGCGCTCGGCGCGGGTGAGCGGCAGGAGTGCGGGCCGAGGCGGCGCGCCGGGCCTCCCGAGTGGGGCCCCGCCTTGCAGTCGACCCGCAGAGTAAGGATAGGCATCCCTCCCAGGGCTACCCATGCATCCTTGCTTCCTGGGTACATCCTGGGACACTTTCGTGGGCCGCGCCCCGCGCGAGACGCTTCGAAATGGGCTTCCAAGGCCCTTGCGCTTCGAAATGGGCCTCCAAGGCCCTTGCATCCTTAACGCGCATCCTTGCTCTGCGGGTTGACTGTGTTGGCAACGTTACCCAGCGAGACCTTGGCATCGCTCGGACGTGTGCCTTTTTCCTTGGGCGAGGGCCATCGAGGAGCATCCCTTGATCATCTGGCGAAAAAAAACACGCGCGAAACCGAAAAAAACACAGGGAATGGACGTCCGAGCGATGGCCAGGAGTGGGGTCCGAGCAGAGGTGAGGATGCAACTGCCGGGAGGTCAACTTCTGATTCTGCCCTGGTCCGACATCCCGCTGCCTCCGGCTTCATCTCGCTGAACCTGGCTGAATCCCGCTTTATCCCGCTCAATCCGGCTTGCTCCCGCTTGATCCGAGGCCCACTCGGGCGTAACAGCCCCCCAATGGGGCTTAATCCTCTTTAACCCTTCCGACGAAAACCTCCCAGTAGTTGCCTCCTAATAGATGGGGTCGGAGGATCGCACCGCATCGCCGAAGCACCGGCGGTGCAGCTCGAAGCGGAGCCCGATTTTCTCCACGTCAGCGGCGCCGATGCATCGCCGACGTCGCCCACGTATCGCCGATGCATTCGCGATGCATCGGCGATGCAGCGCGATCCCCCGACCCCATCAGCTCGGACCTCATGTGGCAGACCTCTAGGAAAAGGACTTCCTGTCCATCCTGAACAGGGGCAAGGTTGGGGGGGTCGGTCCCAGGGCCCAGTGAGAGCTCCTGGACGCCGAAACTGGCCGAAAGTCTCCGGCCGTTTTTTCCCACCACGCGAGCATGTCTTGCAGTGAGGCTTTCTGGAAGTCCACTTTGACCGACATAAGACATAATCCACTTCCTTGCAGTTCTGTAGAGCCAGCTATCAGGAGGGAAAAAACACACAGACACAATGAATCGTCGATATGGGAAGTGGGGGGGAAGACGAAAACCGTGAAAAGATAGGAAAAATATGGGGAATCCTGTTATTTGTGTGTGTATCTGTGTGCCTGTGGGCCCCTTCAAGCGAATGCCGCTGCAGGCCACCCACGGCCGCCAGAGGCCGCCCAAAAGGCCCCTGGCGGCCACCGACGGTCGCCTAACAGTACACCGCAGGCGGCTCAAAGGCTACGAGAGGCTACAAGTCAGGAGGGAAAGAAACACACAGACACAATTAATTAATCGTCGATTCCCCAGAAAATATGGGGAACTATGGGAAGTGGGGGGGAAGACAAAAACCCAGAAAATCAATATGGGAAGTGGGGGGAAACTATGGGAAGTGGGGGGGAGAACCAGACCGAGGCGGTGTATGTCAGAATGAGCCTCCACAGCGACTCACCCAGATTTATGACGTTCCAACCTACTCTTAGCCTTGATCACCCGGAGAATCTCGAGCGGCCCCAAAAAAGGCCACTGACGGTCGCTGATAGTACCCCGCAGGCGGCTAAAAGGCTACGAGAGGCTACCAGACCGAGGCGGTGTATGTCAGAGTGAGCCTCCACAGCGACGCACCCAGATCTATGATGTTCCAGCCTATACTTTAGCCTGGATCACCAGGAGAATCTCGAGCGGCCCCAAAAAGTGTCGAAACTCCAGGGGTTTTCTCACGTGTCGGGCCCTGGGAGACACTCGCCCGACACTGTTTCGACACTCTTTCGACACCCTTCTGACACTTTTCTCTGGGTGCTCGAACTTCTTTCTGGGATGTGGTCCTCCAATGGGATGGGAACATCATAAACCCAGATGTCTCTGGGCATGCACCGACACAATGAATCGTCGATCCCCCAGAAAATATGGGAAAATATGGGAAGTGGGGGGAAGACAAACACCCAGAACATGAACATGGGAAGCGGGGGGAAAATATGGGAAGTGGGGGGGAGAACTAGACCGAGGCGGTGTGTGTTAGAGTGAGCTTCCACAGCCACTCACCCAGATGTCTCTGGGTATGCACCGAGCACAGAGCCCAGGGTGTCGGCCTCTGCCGGGAGCGGTGCGGTGGCCGGCCGGGGTCCCCCGGCCGCTCCGCTCCGCGGGCCGCCGCGGCAGCGGGGCTCGGGGCAGGGCGGCGCCGCGGGCCTGAGCCCGCGGGGCGGCGCGGCGGGCTGCTGCGGGCCTTCGAGCTCCCCGACCTCAGCGCGGTGGGCAGGTCGGGTATCGTTTAGCCGACCCCTGCCCCCCCATCCCCATCCCCATCTTCACCACCCACCAAACCACCCCAACCCAACCCGAAGGCTCAGATTTACCCTGGATTTTTGGTGGGGGGGGTCGGGAAACATAGAAAAAACACCAACCCGAAATTCGGGTCTTCGGGTTGGGTTGGGGTGGTCTGGTAGGTAGTCGCATCTAGAGCCCCTGCCATCTCCCCCCCCAGCTGGGGAGGTGCCCCTCGGAATCCGAGGGAAAGCTGCCCAGATGCCCACCTATAGGGGCGGGGGCATCTGCCAGTGGGGCCCGGGCCGCACCTGTGGGGAGAGGGGTCGGATCAGCGATGCTCGGCAGGGAGAGCGAGAGGCTGTGCTGCTCGGAGCAGCAGGTCGGAGGAGGGCGAGAGTTGAGACAGCGGCAGGTGACCTTCGGAAGGCCCCCCTCGTCGCACGGTTGGATGCAGCTCGGAGAGCTCGGAGGAGGAGGAGGAGGAGGGAGGAGGAGGAGGAGGAGGAGCGCCTCGAGGAGGAGGAGGAGGAGGGGGGGAGAGGAGGAGGGAGGAGGAGGAGAGGAGGGGGAGGAGGAGGAGGAGGAGGAGGAGGAGGAGGAGGAGGAGGAGGAGGAGGAGGAGGAGGACTGGGGACCGTTTTTGGGCCGCCGTCGTCTGGGCTCGCCCTGCGCCGAGCAGGTCGTGCTGCTGGTGGACTACGGGCTGTACCTCGCCACCTGCCTGACGCTGTGGTACTCGCGGGTGCTGATGCCGCTGAAGCTGTTCACCACCTTTCTCCACGAGCTGGGGCACGCCATCGCGGTGTGGCTCACCTGGAACAAGGTGCACGGCATCGAGGTCCACGCCGACCAGGGCGGGGTCACAAAGTGGTCCACCACGCGGCTGCGGTGTTCGAACCACTTCGTGTTGCCAGCCGGGTACCTCGGCTCGGCAGCATGGGGCGGGGCCATCCTGCTCTGTTCGACGAATCCATCGGCCACCTATGCAATAACGTTCGTGCTGATGTTCTTCCTGCTGGTGGCGCTGGGCTATTCTATCTGCGCTGGAACTGGGGGCGAAGGGGACTGCACGCTCCCAGCGCTGAGTGTGGGCCTGCTGGTGGTCTTCGGTGGGCTGCTCGGGCTCTGCTTCTTCACGGACTGGCAGTACAGGTACCTGCTTCTCAATAAAGTTCTACTGCTCATAGGCGTTATGAACACGTTGTTTTCGACTTATGACATATGGACCGATTGTGTCAGCCGAACAGTGGAGAGATCCGACGCGTACAAGTACGCCGAGCTGATTGGCTGTTGCTGTAGCTCTGTCTGCACGGGTGTGATCTGGCTGGTGCTGAGCATGCTGCTCGCAGTCACGGTGCTATGTCTGGCGCTCCGTCTCATGCCCGCCGAGCCAGAATTTGACGGCACGTTCAGCAGCTTCTCCATGGCCAGCATCGTGGTCCCCGCTATCGTGTTCGCCGCGGCCGTCGTCTTCCGGCTGGCCTTCTCGCGGGCGTACGGCGGGAAGATGAGGGTCGGCCGCGGGCTCGTGCTGGCGGGCGAGGGCAGCGACGCCACCAGCGAAGACAGCGGGCAGGACCCCGAGCTGGAGGGGCCCCTGCGAAGTAGAGAGGTCCTGGCGACCACCGGGCATCACTGGGCCGGGCACGCCAGCGACTCGGGCTCGGATAGCTCCAGCGACGGCAGCTGATCTGGCGAAGAGAAGCATGCGCAGGCCCAGGTCCTGTCCAGGCTCATCGTGGGCTCAGGATCGGTACATGTGCCCCCCCCAGCCAGGAGCGCGCACGCACTGCACCGGTGCACTCTGGTCCTTGCCCAGGATGGTCCTGGCCAGGATGGGTGTGTTCGGCTACGCGTCAGAGTGACCTTTCCACGGATTTGCCTTAGGTGCGGGCCCACAGGGGTGCCCCCAGCACTGGTCTGCACGCTTGTTTTTTGGCGTCCCAGCGGCCCCACGTGGCCGCGCACCTAATGTCATGCTCGCCCAGGGCCATTCTAGCGTGTGCAGTCAAATCCGATAGTAAGGATGATCGACTTCCCAAGGGTACATTTGCATTCTTGCCTCTTCGGTCATCTTCGCTCCATCCCCAACCAATCTTGATGGCCCGCCGCGCTCGAACTGCTTCGACATGAGCGTCAAAGGCACTTGCATCCTTATCGCGCACCCTGACTATCAGTTTTGATTCTTCGGCGGCGAGCCTGGGGGGAAGTGAGGAGGCGCGGGCCTTCTTAGAAGGCTCGGAAGTCCCCCAGGCTTTCGAGACGTTCTCCAAGCCTCCCCCGAAGACACAGAACACTTCCCAGAAGGTGCGAGGTCTGCCGAGAAGTCCCGCCGCCTGCCGAGAGGGCGTGCTCCTCCTCGCCTCCCCCCCCTCGCTCGCCGCCGCATCGGAGCTGCTGCAGATGCATCTCGTTCGCTTTCTTCTGGCTGGCTCCAGCTTGCGTTTGGCAAGTCTGCAGCTGCATGCGCTGGCAAAGTTTGGCAGTCTCCGGCTCCCATCTGGCCCCAGCTTGCGTGTGGCAAGCTTGCGGATGCATGTGCGGGCAAATCCGCCTTCCGGAATCTGGGGGCCAATCGTGCTCTTACTGCTTCCCTGCCGATGCGTCCTCCTGGATGCATGGCCGTGTGCTGTGGAGGACGATCAATGGAGAGGCAGCCTGCTGCCAAATAATTTCCAGATGTCTAACAGATATTTCAAATATGTTGTACAGCTGTAAAAAAAACAGGCTTGAAACATTTTCAGAACATGCTAGGATTGTCAGAGTGTCCATTGTCATTCGGAAGCTGGGCAAGGGCTGCTAAATCCGTGGCTGCTAAAATCGACCTCCGGGAAGTTGTCTTCGTCCTTCCAGGAATAAGCCCGCTGACTGTCTCGCGCGCCGCGCCTCACTCCGGGAAGCTGTTTTTTCTCCTTCCGGGAGGGCCGTTTTAGCAGCCACGGTCTTAGCAGCCCTCGCCCAGCTTCCGACACATCGGCATAACCGCCACGCGGGTGGTGCCCCCCCCCCACACATGTTACAACATCTTTGAAGCATTTTCTAGGACATGTTTTACACATGTTCAACACCTTTTTGAATCAATGATCGGATTGTTCGAGAGTGTCCATTGTCATGGCATTCACAAGCTTACAAGCCTGGAATCTATCCCTATCCTTATGCTGGGCACCTCCTCATCACGGTGCCAATCTTGGGGACTCCCTTATTTTTTGAGGGCGCATCCCTAAGATTGTCATCGCCTTTTGGCGTGTCAATCTTAGGGATAGGGATACGTTCGAGGCTGGTAACAAGCCTCGTGGTGTGGTGGTGTGGCGCCAGCGCGCGGAGGCGGCCAGGCCACGGCGCAGCGTCTCAAGGGCCGGGGCCACGCGCGAGGCGCTGCGGCACGCGGGGGGGCCCCGAGCGGCCTCGGCGGCCTCGCGCGGCGGTGAGCTCTGGCGGGCAGTGGGGGCCCGTGCCGAGAAGCACCCTGCCTGCCTCCATCGGGCCGGACGAAGGGGGGGGATTGGGGAAGGGGGGGGTACGAAATTTGCTGCATGCAGCTGGTTTCGGCCTCACCGAGGGGCCCATTCCTCCATACATGGGGAAGATGGACACGGCCAAAAAACGGCGACCGGAAACGGCAACAAAAACGGCTCCAGGATGGGAGCCGGAGCGGCAACCCGTAAAAGAACGGCGACAGAACCGGTAAAAAAACGGCGTCGGAACCGGCAAACAAATGGCAAAACGGAACCGGCAGAAAAACGGCCCTGCCGTTTCCAGGGCCCACTAAGCTCCGGCTCCCGTTGGCGCGCTCGTCTGCGGGTTCGCGCCCATGTCGGCAGACCGCTTACGCGCTGGTCGTTGAAAGTAGGTATTTTTGTGGATTCCCAAAGCCCTATTTGCTCCAAGTGCCTTCCTACTGCAAGAGTCGGCACGCTTTTGCTGTGCTTTGTCATTCTCTGGGGGGGCCTGGACCCAATTCACTTTATCCGCCTTCCTGCTTCATGTTTCTACCTGCTTCTTCCGACCGGCGCGTGCGCAGTTCGCGGCCCCATAGGTCGCCGCACCTGCACTCTCCGCCGGGCCCAAGGCATGCGCGGGCGGCGCCCGCCCCGCCCGGAGCCCTTCCGCGCAGGTCGTGGCATGGCAGGGAGCTCCACCTGCGGTCTCCGTGGGTGCGTTTCGCATGCGGGCCCACGCCTACGCAGGTCACCGCCCACCAGACCGCCCCAATCCAGCCCGAAGGCTTCCATTTGCCCCCCATTTCCAGCGGGGGGGGGGGTCGGGGAACATTGCGCAAACGCATCTGGAATTCGTACCCCCCCTCCCTAACGCGAACCTCGGCCCACATTCGGAAGCCGGGCAAGGGCTGCTAAATCCGTGGCTCCTAAAATCGACCTCCGGGAAGTTGTCTTCGTCCTTCCGGGAAGAAGCCCGCTGACTGCTTCGCGTGCCGCGCCTCCTTCCGGGAAGTAGTTTTCTCCCTCCGGGAGGGCCGTTTTAGCTTCCGACACATCGGCATAACCTTCACGCGTGTGGTGCCCCCCCACGGTGAGAGCTCAGTGGCGCGCTGCGCGCCTGCTCTCCGCACGGCCCCTCGTTGTGTCGAGGCGTCGCCTCGCGGCGCGAAGGGACGTGCGGGGGCGGCCACGCCCTGCGCTGCAGGCAGCTGCGCAGGGTCCTCCAGAAGGCCCGTTCGGAGCTCCCGCGGAATGAGAGGTCCGTGGCCCTCGAGAGTCTTCATCATCTAGGCGCGCTCTCTTTTTTTATATGTTCAACTTTTGTTATAGTTATGCGTAAGCATACGTATTTCGATATATGTAATACGTATATGTATATACATATCTCTCTGTGTCTCTCTCTCTCTCTCTTTCTCTCTCTCTCTCTCTCTCCCTCGGTCTGTCTTGTTCTCTTCTCTCCCTCTCTCTCTCTCTTTGTTCTCTCTCTCTCTCTTTCTCCCCCCCTCTCTCTCACTCAGCATCCCCCAAACAGAGCTTGCACTCAGGGCTTTTTTCCGCTGTGGTCGAAGCAACTGGCCCTGAATGTCGGTCTGGCGACTATGTTGTCGCCGTCGCCGCCTCCTCGCCGCCCGTAACTGGTCCCGTCTGTCTGTTTGGTGACTCTGTTGTCGCCGTCGCCACCCCGCCGCCGCCGTCGCCGCTCGCCGCTGCCGTTCGATTGAACCACCAACACTGCTTTGCGTTGCTTTGCGTTGCTTTGCGTTGCTTTGCATTGCTTTGTGTTGCGTTGCGTTGCTTGTCATTGCCCTGCATTGTATCGCTGCAATACAGGCAGTGCACCACATATATTGAAGCACATCTATTCCCCCCATTCCTGGTTTCGCACACGTGGCTATAACCCCACTGTTTGGGGCCCACGCTGGCTAATCCACACACGCGCACACACACACACATCTACACACATTGATATGTGCATATATGTATGTATATATATGTATGTATATATATATATATATATGCGTGTGTGTGTGTGTGTGTGTGTGTGTTTGTGTGCCGTCTTCGGCCCATCCCGATCGTGTCTGCGTTTTGGGTACACAGTCTATTGGATGTTCGTTGGGATCTCGTGGGGGGCCTTTCGGGGAGCCTCTCTTGGGACTCGTTTTGAGGCCTCTTGGGAGCCTCTTGGGGCCTCTCGTGTGCCTCTTGGGGGCCTCTTGGGGCCTCTTGGGCGGCGCCTCTTGGGGCCTCCTGGGGGCCTCTTGGGGCGGAAGGCTTGCGTATTCGGTTCGGGCCGTCTTGGGGCTCTCTTGAGCCGTTGTGGCCCCCTCTTGGGCCGTCTTTGGGCACTCTCAGGCCGTCTGCGGGCCCTCTTGGAGGTCCCTTGGGCCGTCTTGGGGTGGTCTTGACGGCCTCTTGGGCCGTCTTGGAGCGTCGGACAGCCGAGAATGCGAGACCGCCCAACCCATCAAAACTGGGGGAACATCAGTGGTGGTTGCCTCTTCGGGCCCTCTTGGGAGGTCTCTTGGAGGCCTCTTGTAATGTCTTGGAGGCTTCTTGGGCCATCTTGAGGCCATCTTGGGCTTCTTGGATTCGGCGATTCGGGGCCCCCTTGGACTCATGGGAGGGTTCGGGAGGTCGCTTTGGGGGGGCACAGCGTCCACAGGAGGCGCAGGAAACACCTCAGCACTCACGGGAGCCAGCCTGGAATGGCCCGGGAAGGCCTGGTACACGACTTGTCCTGGCCTTTCAAAGACTTGCAATTCGCGCTGCAGCAGCAGCAGCAGCAGCAGCAGCAGCAGCAGCAGCAGCAGCAGCAGCAGCAGCAGCAGCACAGCATCTACCTCTTCAGTGCTGCATGAGCCTTGGGGCACTCCACTTCATGCCAGAGGCACGGTGGCGGATAAGATATGCATATGTAGCTGTATATGAATATGAATATATATATACATGTATATGTATATGTATATATATATATATATATATATCGGAGGTTGGGGGGTGAGTCCGACTGGAGACGGAGACCCCCCCCACCGGGAAATCGATTTCGGTTTCGGGTTCTTGTCGTGCGTGCCGTGCGTGCGTGCGGGCGAGGTGAAGCTGCGTGGGCGGGCGAGAGGAAGTCCTCCTATGGCTGGGCCGCGGCCGGACTAAATGTTTCTCCTCTGGCGTCCCGTGGCCCGCGGTGTCTCGCCGGTGTCCCGCTGGTGTCCCGAAATCCTCCTGTGGCTGGGCCGCGGCCAGGCCAAATGTTTCTCCTCCAGCGGCCGGTGGCCCGCGGTGTCCCGCCGGTGCCCCGCTGGTGTCCCGTGGTGTCCCGTTGAGTGAGATCGATAGTGAGATCAATAGTGAGACCGATAGTTAGATCGATAGTGAGATCGATGTGGTGCCCCAAGGTGTCCCGTGGTGTCCCGTAGTGTTCCAAAAAGTGAGATCGATAGTGAGATCGATAGTCAGATCGAGAGGTGTCCCGTGGTGTCCAGTCGTGTCCTGTGGTGTTCCGTTGAGTGAGATCGATAGTGAGATCGATAGTGAGGTCGATGTGGCGTCCCGA